CCCTCGCAGGCTTCGTGGCCCCATAGGGAGCTCCACCTGAGGTCCCAGTGGCGCAGTCCGCATGGCGGCGCCGCCCGATTTTGTCACACCTCTGCTTCGTGGCCCCATAGGGAGCTCCACCTAAGGTCCTGCGCATCGTTATCATCATCGCCATGATCGCCGCTCGCCCCTCGCAAGCTTCGTGGCCCCATAGGGAGCTTCACCGAAGGCCACAGTGGCAGCGCCCGCACGGCGTCCCCGCCCCGTTTCGGCACATCCCTCACACGTCTTGTGGCCCCAGAAAGGGGGCTCTACATCAGGCCCCAGCAACACAGCCCATGGCGGCCCCGCCCCATTTCGGCGCACTCTTCACGCGCTTCGTGGCCCCACGGTATTCACAACTGCATATGATTGGGTCCTTCGCCAGGCTAAGTTTGAATACTCCTCCTGTAGAGGGACGTGCCTGACTTAATGCTAGCAACACCCGGCTCCTCCTTGCGGTCGCTGTTCCACTCGAAGTAGTGGAGGAGCGTGGCGTGCGTGAGCCTGCCCCGTGAGACAAGGCCAGGACAGGGGCAAAGTCGGGCTGGGATACATCTCAAGGATCTGTTAGATCCGTGAGTTCTGGAGGATACATCGGGCGCCGCGGCCTGGGGCGTTCCGGAACTCTCTGGGAGCACTCAGGAACGCTCTGGAATGTGTCATTCCTGTCCTAGACCCGCCCGACCCAGAGAGAGAGAGAGACAGAGACAGAGACAGAGAGAGAGAGAGAACAAAAAAAAAAACAAAAAACTACGGCAGGCTGGTGCCGTGGCGACTTGCGCGCTGGTCTCTGACACCAGACAAGCGCATTCCACTGGTCGCAACCGGCCTGGATCCGCCACAGGGGAGACTCGCGATACACTACATTTGTGGATGCCATGACAATGGACACTCTAACAATCCTATCATTGAATGAAAGATGGGTTTAAAATGTGTAAAACATGTTCTAAAAATATTTCAAACATGTTTTTGCATTATGAAGCATGTTTGAAACATGTTTCAGACATCTGGAAATTATTTGGCAGCACGCTTCCTCTCCACCGATCGTCCTCCACGGCACCACGTCGATGCAGGCGCGTGCTCCTGTCGGACGTCTGCGAGGAGGCACTCCGCGAGCAGCGGAGCGCGCTCGGGGAGACGCCGCGCGGAGGGCTCCCACCCGAGAACGCTCGCGACGCTCCGACGACGCAGAGCGCCCGACGCCGGCCGAGTCCAGGCCACGAGTCAGGTCGGGCCTGTCCCCCTGCAGGGGCTCAACAAAAAACAAAAACAAAAAATCCCAGCAGAACACCCAAAAAAAGGCTCCAAAAAAAGGGTCCAAGGATCGTCCCCGGACTATTTTGGACGACTCTTGAGCGTTCCTCCTGCAGAGGGACAGGCCCGCCTGAACGCAGGAGTCACGGCCGCGTCGACACGGCACGAGCTCCACACCCGCACGACTGCTGGCCGCTGTTCGCCATCCAGGGCCTCCAGGTGCCGGCCTCGGGCCCCCGGGGCTGCCGAAGAGCCTCGGGGATCTTCTGGCCCGGGTCAGTCCAGGCCCGGGTCGGTCAGGCCCTGCAGAGTCCTGCAGCATCCTGCTCGGGAGCGGCCACGAGGGGGGTGTCCAAGAGGGGGGGGTGCAAATCATGACCGGTGACATGTGCGCGGCCCAGCGGGGGGGCCAGGAACGTAATGAAATAAGAAGAGGCGCCATGAAATCTGAGGAAATATCATGGCCCACGCCATGATATCCACCCCCCCCTAGTCATCACCCCCCTCTTTTCCGCCCCCGACCTGCACCCAAAGCCGGGCCACCGCGAGGGATCCTGCAAGATCCTGCAGGATCCTGCACCCAGACCCGGGTCAGTGCGACCCTGGCCCTGCAGGATCCTGCAAGGTCGGAGGCTCTGGCTGACCCCCGTTTGCACTGGCCCCCCGTCTCAAGGCTCCCGACGAGCAGCTCGGGATAACAAGGCTGGCCCTGGGGAAAGGGTTAGGTCGGGCATGTCCCACTACAGGCGGGTTTGGGACGAAAAATAAAAAGTACCCCCCAGAATAAAAAAAAGCAATCAAAAATTGACAAAAAATCGTCCCCAGACTATTTTCTGAGTATTTTTGGACATCCCCCCTGTAGAGGGACAGGCCAGACTTAAGGAAAGGGTCGAGAGGTCGCGGGGAAGCCATGCCTCTGATACCTCGAGGCGCTGCCCGAATTCGACGAGTCGGAACATCGGATCGGCCATCGAAATAGATCGACTCGGCTGGAAGCGGCAGGCAGATCGGAAGGCAGCGGAATCGCCGCCCGCCGTCACGAGCCGAGACATACGCGAGGAGATCCAAACCGAGGTCGGAATCGAACCGAAACCGGGACCCTCAGAGCCGAATAGGTTCGAGTCGGCAGAGCCGCAGCGGGTCCTGCCGGGTGAGGCCAGCAGAGCGCCGCAGCCATAGGCATCGGGCGTTCGCAGGCGGCTACTCCGCCAGTGCCGAGCCGCATCCCCGCACCCCTGGGCGCGTCGGCCATGAGGATTGCAGGGGTGGGTACATGGCGCGGGCGCAGAGAAGCCGAAACCAGGACGAGGATAAGGATAAATCGAGTCTCCGAGATCTGGCTTCTCTGGAGGATGTCTCGGGCGCCAGGCTCTGGAACGGATTTATCCTCATCCTAGCCCCGTCTGAGAAGATTCGGCAGGCCCACCCTCCATCGGGCCGAGAACTCGAAATCGGATCGGCGAAAAAACCACTGGAAAGCGCCAGAAATACGAGCACCAAATCGGATCGGAATAGGAAACCCACAAGCACTTCGGACCGGAACCGGAATCGAATCCGCCGCACCAGAATAGAAGTCCAAATTTGGATCGAACGCGGATCGGATCGAATGGGAAGCAGACCTGTCCGGGGCCCAACCACCGTGTGGTGCTGGACCACTTGCTGACCTTCGGAATCCACAACGAACTCACCGCGTGCGGTCCGTCACCACACGGTCTTGGGGCCCTGGAGGCCCCGGTCGCCCGAGACGTCCTCGAAGAAAGGGCCCGAGTCCCAGGAAGGTGCGGTGGCCCCGAAGCTGCACGGCTCACCACGGGGTGTGGTCACCACACCGTGGGGGGCCCCGAGCAGAGACCGTCCGCGGGTGGCCGGGGCGTGCGCTGGCGTCCCTCCCAGAGCCAGGTGCACACGAAGGAGAAGCTGCCGCGCGCCAGCGGCCACAGGTTGGCCTTGACGACGTTGGCGACGACGTCGGCGCAGCCAATGTAGTCCTCGAGGTTGACAAGGCGGAGCAGCCGCAGCGGGATGACGAGGTCGTATAGACACGCGAAGCCGCTCCAGTCGTTGTTGAAACTTGGGTGCAGGAGAGGACGGCGCCAATCGAGGTGAAGGCAAACCGCTATCGCGAGAAGGGAGGTCGAGCCACTGATGCCCTTCAGCGACTGTAGATGCCTCCACCCGAGGGCAGTAAAACGCATGGAAAACTCGCACAGAAAGAACACGACGGCGACGAGGTCCAGCCAATAAGAAATCTGATCCACGCGTTCACACCAACGGTCATACTTGGGATCCTGAAAGCAAAAGGGCTCCCGGTCCTTGGGGTTTTGGGGATCTTTGGGTCCGAACATGTCCATGGTGAGGACGATACAAGTCAAAGAAGTAATCAAGGTAAGTATGATCGACGCCGCACAGAAGACCCTGAACTGCGCCGTTGCTTTCCCGCCTGGCTTTAGGTGGCCGTACAGCCACTCCCAGACCGCCTGTCGCCAGGGCTCCCTGGGCTCGTGGTGCAGCTGCCAATGATCCTCTTCAGGAAGGGCCTCCTCCTCGTCGTTGTCTTCGTAGATCTTCTGGAAATACCCACTGGTAAATATCGTCATGGGGATGACGCAGATACCCACGCTGAAGATGGCCATAATCGTCAGCACGCCTTTGCCGAATGGCGTGTAGTCGGCCCAGACCCACTCGCCGTTGATGTTGATTGCCTCCGCCCACAGTGACCGTGGAAACGAAGCGAAGTTCGCAAGGACCATGGGGTCGGGATTGTCTTGCTCCGAAATGTACAGAAGCTGCGAGGAGAGGGCCAACGTCAGAGCGGCTGGGATGCCTGTAGACACGAGAAGTCGGCGGTGCGAGTAGAGAACGTCGCCCATGTCCTCGAAGGAGTGGAGCAGCCGCTCCAGCTTGAAGATGCGCACCAGGCAGAGCAAGTTCAGCCAATAACCGCAGGAAGCGATAAGAAACCCGTGCGGGGACACGAAGGTGCAGCCTGCGGCGAACAGGACGCAGCGCACGGCGCCTGGCCAGGCCGAGAGGAAGTCCACGGCGCCCATGGGCGACCGCACATAGCTCCCGCCCCTGTCCGCGAAGCGCACCCGCAGGCACCACTCGACCGCAAACGCAGCGCCAACCGCTCCGTCCACGAGGGCGCAGCACCAGTCCAGGGACCAGAGCCGTCGACCCTGAAAGGTCTGAACGGTGCTGGCAAAGAGAACGGCGACCGAGCCGAAGCCGAGGAGGCCTGCCAGAGGTGCGTAGGCCGGCCCCTCCAGCAGCTGCCGGACCCAGGCGGGGGCGTCCGCCGCGAGGCCGCTGGCCGAGTCCTCCGGATCTCTGGACGTCACTGGTCCCCCCTGTTCACTGGACATCACAACGCGGCCCATCATGGCTCCGACGATGCTTGCGGGCAAAGCGAACAAAGGCATGACTGCCAGGTTCACGAACGTCACCAGGGCGCGCTGCGTGGCAGTGTGATACACGTGGGCCAGGGGATTCTTTTTGGTGAGGTTCAACAACACGAAGAACATGGAGGACGGAATGGATGAGAAGCGCTGCCACTCCACCCATTCATTCTCCCCCTCCTGTACCTGGGCGGCGTACCAACGGGCTTTGTCGTTGTCCTTGTTGGCCAAATAGAACAGCCCGCTGATCAGCAACCAGAGGACCGCCCCCAACATCAGCACAGAAGAGATCATCCTCTTCTCCCTGCCAACAGCCGCCGCGAAGCCCTTGGGATGCAGGGCAAGCCCGCGCTGCTCGAGAATCTGCACCGCTCGCATCCCGCACAACCAGGTCCAGTTCATGTGCACGGCTCGGCACAGCAGGAAGTCACCCAGGGAGAGCCCGACGGCCAGCATGTCCAGCTGGGCATACGAGTCGTAAGCCAGATAGCGCATCCACGCCCTGCGCCCGCCGGCCTGAAAGCGCGGGTGCGCCTGCGCAGCCACGAGGCGCCCCAGGAGCACGCCGCCAAAAGCAAGGAGGGACACGACCTCCACCGCGTCGTGGGCCTCGACCAGCGAGTCGGCGCTGAGACCGAGCACGCGGCGGTCCGACCCGTCCGATGTGCAGACGGCCTCAGTGGCAGCTCCGAAGAGCATCAGATTGAGGACGGCTCCCGCGACCGTGGCGCCGTCGACGCAGGCCCTCGGGAGGCCGTTCCCCCACAGCACGTCGTACAGCTTCTCGGCGAGGGGTCGTGCCTTCTCGGTCGATGCTTCGCTGACCACCGCCTCCTGTGCGGCCGCAACGGCGTCGTCATCGTCCACCGCCTCCAGCACGGCGTCGGCCACCGCCTCAGCAGCCTTTCCAACGGAGCTCGCCAACTTGAGACGGCGGAGAATCAGCACCAGCAGGAAGATCAGAATCGGGTACAGAAACCAGCCCAGCTGGTAGTTGAAATTCTGGACCCGGCTCATCTTCAGCGGCTGCTCCCTGACGAATGGATGTTTCAGGCAGTACTTCGGCTCGTACGGACTCTCCTGACCGCTGGGAATCCACGCCGCTGGGGCCTTCTGCGGGCCGGTCGGCACCGGCCTGCTTTGCGCGCCGGGCGCTGCAGGCCCTCCCCTGTTCAGCGACTCCGAGGGGTGAGGTCTGCAAAAGGGGGTGTGGCTTGCAGCTGGCACCCCAGGAGGCGGGCGAGGGCCTCGACGGAGGCCTCCGCCGCGCCCCGAGGAGGCCCGACGGCGACGGTGCCGTGCCCAGTAGGCCCCAACTGCGCCGATCGCAGGCCACACCCCAGCACAACCGTACCCTTTGCAGTCGCCGACCCGTCGTCTGGGGCCCCCGCGCTCGTCCGGTCCGCCTCGGCCGCGGGGGCTGCGGCCGTGCTGCCGCTGCCGCCGCTGCTGCTGTTCTCGCTGCTGCTGCTGGGGCTGGGGCGGGTGCTCTCCTCGGGGCCGACGGCGCCGGGGCCCATGCCTGGGAAAGGGGCGGCGGGAGTGCGCGGAGCACAGCCCCCCCCCCTCACGCGCCGCCCTCCCCCCCCCCCGCGGAGGGGACGGCCACGCACCCACCTCGGCCAGGAGGGCGTGCGCACCGTGCCAGCCCAAGACGGCCCCAACCAGGCGCGGCGCCCCCAAGCCCGCCACGCCTGACTCTCCCTACCGCGGACCCCCAAGCCCCCCCCTCTCATCTGCCCGCCCCTCTCCCCGATCTCCACCACACCTCCCCCCCGAAGCCCCTCCCATCCCCTCTACTCCTCCCCCACTACCCAGCCCCCCCCCCCCCCTTCATCCCTCTCCCCCCCTCCCACTGCCCGCCCCCAGTCTCCTCCCAGCATGCGCCCCCCACCCCCAACGGTGCTCTCACTACCAGATGCCCTGGAGAAGGGCTGTAGACGAGCGCGTTCCAATACTCGCAACGTGCCTACTCGCAAATGACCTGGAACCGCCGCGGGCTATCTACGATCTATTACGTCGAGGCGAACATGTACTTTTCGGACGTTTGCGAGTAGGCGCTTTGCGAGTAGTGGAACGCGCTCGGTGAGGCTGGGGGCAGTGGAAAGCCTGGAGCTGTGGGGGAAAAAGAGAGGAGGGCAGGGGGGCAGGGGGACGGGGAGAGCGGAGACGGACGGACGGAGGGCACGGGGGAGCTCAGCGAGGGCGAGGATGGGGGGGGGGAGAAAGGGGGAGCGGGAGAGGCAGGGAGAGGATGGCGAGGGGATGCGTGGGGATGGGGGGGAGAGGGAAGGGAGACGGGGACAGCGAGCGGCCAAGGGGAGGGGGAGGAGGGAGCTCTGGCCCGCGGGGCGCATCTGCCGAAGAGCCGCGGGCAGGACGCGCCGCCCGCGGAGGGGCGGCAGCGCACGCCGGCAGCCACGCGGCCAGCCTCGGAGGCGGCAGCCCGTGGCCGCAGGTGACTCCCGGCTGGAGCGGCTGGAGGGAGTGGCACGGGGGGCCACGTGCGAACCCTGCCCCCCGCCCTCCCCCTCAGGAATCCTGGGGGGGTAGGGCGGAGGGTTCGCATGTGGCCCCCCGGATTGGGCTCCAGCTGGCAGCACCTCGGGGAAGGACCGGCACGGGAAGGCGCCGGCTCTGCCTGCACCGATCCTGGCTGGGACCCCCCTGGGCCCCAGGGCGTGCGCGCGTGCCCTCCTCGCGTGGCCCGGGAGGCCTGCACACCGTCTCTGCGCCCTCCGATGGGCGGCGCCCCGCCAGCTCGCAGGGCTCCCGAGAAAGAGTCAGTCACGTGCAGGGGGGGGGCGGGGGGGGGAGGGGGGAGGGCTTCTCAGAAGCACCCCTGCTTCTTGGAGGGCGCGGGCCTCATCTACAGATGTAGGGACGGCGCCTTCTAAGAAGCAGCCTCCTTCTAAGAAGCCCTCCCCCCTCCCTGCAGCCCCTCGTGCGCACCCGCAAAAGAGGGGCCGCGGGGCCTCGGCAACATCTTCATCGAACGGGGGGCAGTCCGGCGGTGCACGGAGAGCCGACCGCGGCTGGCGAGACCCCCGCGGGGCGGAGCCGCCCGAGTTCTCGGGGTCTCCGGGGGCCTCCCGAGGCTTGGAAAGCCCCCAAGAGCAAGCAGAGACGCAAAAAAACACAAGAACCCCCCCCAAAAAAAAACTCGCACCTCGAGCCTCGGGGAGAATTGCGGATCCCCGAGCGCGGTGCGGCCCCTTCGTGGGTTGGGGAAAAGTGCTCCGTGGCGCGTGGAGAGCGCCCGCCTTCTCGATCCTCCTCCCCTCCTGCTCCTGCTGGAACCATCTCTTTAAAAAAGCACCTTCGTGAGCTACATGATTGAACCCCCTTCTCAAAATTCACCCATCAGAGCTTGCCTCTGTAGGGGTCCTAGCGGATTGACACGGTTGGGAGAGGCTTGTCACCGATTTCCACGGCCCGCCCGGGTGCCCGGGTGCCCAGGTGCCCAGGTGCCCGGGTGCCCAGGTGCCCAGGGTGCATTATAGCCCTATAGCCGTCTAGCCCTATAGCGCAATAGCCCTATAGCCCTATAGCCCTATAGCCTTATAGCACTATGGCCCTATAGCCCTATAACCCTATAGCCCTATAGCCCTGCAGCCCTATAGCCCTATAGCCTTATAGCCTTCTCGCCCTATAGCACTAAAGCAATATGGCCCTATAACCCTATAGCCCTATAGCTCTGTAGCCCTATAGCCCTATAGCCCCATAGCCTAATAGCCCAATAGCCCAATAGCCCTATAGCTCTACATGCCAATAGCCCTGTAGCCCTATAGCCCCATAGCTCTATATCCCTATGGCCCTATAGCCCTATGGTCCTATAGACCTATAGCCCCATAGCCCTATAGACTCATAGCTCTGTGGCCCCATTGCCCTCTAGCCCCATAGCCCCATAGCCCAATAGCCCTACAGCCCTATTGCCCTATGGCCCTACAGCCCTATAGCCCCAAAGCCCCATAGCCCCATAGCCCCATAGCCCTATAGCCCCATAGCCCTATAGCTCCATAGCCCCATCGCCCGATAGCCCAATAGTCCCATAGCCCTAGAGCCCTAGAAAGACTTTGATTGGGGCTTTTCTCCGGTATCATACTATTGAACCACCCTCTTCTTGAACCACCCACTTCTGAAACACCTCGGAGGAGGAGGAAGAGCCTGACCCACTCCGCTGGCGATCGAGGCGCCCGCGCTGCGCCTGTCCGGGAAGCCCTTCCCCGCCGCGCCGCCGCCCCAGCCCCCCCCCCCCACCCGCACGCGGAGGGCGCACGGTGCGCACGGAGCGGGCGCGACGTCGGGCCGCAGACTCCTGAGCAGGGACCGACCGTCCCCGCACTCCTCTATATAGGCGAGCGCGTTCCACTACTCGCAAGGTAGCTACTCGCAAATGGCCTGGATCTGCCACAGGAGGTTTACGAGATATTACAGAGGCAGACGTATGGCTTTCTTTTGAGAGTAGTGGAGCGCGCTGGCGACTACAGGCCTACCACGACATGTTCTCAGAACCCAAAAGTGCTGACAGGGCTCTTAAAACATAGCCCCGACGTGCTCAAACAGGACGGTCTTAGTCAAAAGTGTTCTGAGAGTATTTCGTGCAGACCACAAGAGGTTCTTGGAACACTGTCTGGTGGGCCTGTAGGCAAGCCAGGACGCTTCGCCACTGCTCGAAACGCGTGCTGGAGCGCACGCGCCCGGATCGCAGGCGCGGGCGTGCTGGAAGTCCACAGAGCGCTCGTGCCTGCCCATGGAGTGTCCGAACACGCGTTGGCGCAGTGCTCCCACGCACCTCTGCATGCACAGCGTCGGCAATCAGCCTGTCATCGCACTGGCCTTGCAGACGTGCTGCAGCGGATTTCTTCTTAGTCTTCATTCCTGGCCAAGAAAGTCCGCACGAAGCTCACCTCGAAATCCGGAACGAAATTCTCTCCAGGACTAACCCGGGCCGACCCTGTCGCTTTCCGAACGAAGTCCGCTCTGCGATGTTGGCGCCATGAGACCTGGCTCAGAATTTGGACCCGAAATGGGCACGGAAAGAATGGGCACAACGACCAACAGCTAATGTTGTCCCAAACCGACAGCGGCCGCTGCTGGGCAGGCGGCCTTCTGCCTCAAACGGACACAGGCCGCGGCGGCGTGGACAGCGAGTCCTGCTCAGAATGGACAGGAACTGCTGTCGGGCTTTGTACTCCAGATTTCGTAATAAAAGGGAGGGGGTCACAACCCTCCCAGACGAGGAGTCCTAGATCCCCCCAGACCATCCATGAAAGGGCGGCCCTTTGCCCAGACCCCCCCGCACCCTCCAAGACAGCTCAAATCAGACCCCCTCCAAAATGTGACCCCCCCACTTTATTTTGGAATCTGGAGTACCCACTCTTTCCGCACCCGTGCCCGTCGCCCCGACAGGAGAGACGGACCCGGCGTCGGCCCAGCGCTGGCAGGCCTGGCCGGGTCTTCGGAGCTCGACCGGGGCGAGCGGCGCGCGGAGGGCCTGCAGGCCGACGGCAGAGGTCAAGGGCGGGCATGTCCCCCATACAGGGGAATTTTGGACTAATCAGAGAAACGTACTCCAAAAAGGCTCCAACATTTTATAGATAAATATATATATATCTATATAGAGAGAGAGACCCCCCTTCCCCCCCCCCAAAAAAAAAACAAAAAAAACAAACAAAAAAAAAAAAACTACTACGATTCTTGGACTATGTTGGGATATTCCCCCTGTAGAGGGACAGGCCCGACTTGACTCTAGTATGTGAGTACCCTCACCCCAAGACTGGGAAAGCCAAGTATTGACGCACTCAAACACGGTTGCCCCCGAAGAAAGTATCGTACTCTGGTCGCCTGGGAGGTCTTGAGCTGGCCAAACTCGAACTCACAACCCCCTCCCTCTTCTTCCTCCACCCTCCCACCCACGTACCCCCCCTCTTAAACATCCCCCCTCATCCAACCCGCCTTCCCCTCGTCGTCCCCTTCCCTCCGTCCTTCACCCCATAACCCCTTGTTCTGCTGCCACCAGGCTTTCAATCAGCCGAAGCCTGACGGAGTTCTGGAACCCATCCTGGTGGCGTTGGCCGAAGTCGTAGTCGTAGTCGTAGTAACGGCACTCGACGAGCCAGCGGCCAAAGCGCTCGCGCTCGCCGGTGTACTGCTGTTGCTGCTGGGCTCCTCATCGGCCCTTAGAGCTGCGGCAGTGCTGCTGCTAATGCTAGTCGCCGTGGTAGTAGTCGTAGTTGTCGAGTCAGCGGCCAGATCGTCTGCGCTCGCAAGCGGGGCTACCATGATGGGTATGCTGCTGCTGTTGCTGCTGCTGCTGTTGCTGCTGTTGCTGCTGTTGCTGCTGTTGCTCCTATTGCTGCCAATCTCTTCATCGGCCCCTAGGGCTGCAGCCGTGATGCTGCTGGTCGTAGCGCTGCTGGTCGTAGCGCTGCTGGTCGTAGTGTCCGCAAGTGCGTTGTAGCCAACCCCGTTAACAGGAAATAAAGTTTGGCCCCTCGGAGGGGGGTAGTAGCTTGCCTTTGTAGTCGTCAGACCATCATTGCCCGCTCTTGAAGGTAGTGTCACCTCAACGGGCGTGGTCTCATGGTCAGCCTCTGGGGCTGCGGCTGTGCTGCTACTGGTGCTTCTGCTAGTGCTGCTGCTAGTGCTGCTGCTATTGCTGCTGCTAGTACTGCTGCTCGCCGAAGCAGTCGTAGTCGTTGGATCAGCGGCTGAATCCTCCGCACTCACTGGCAGAGCCACCGCAACGGGCGTGGTCTCCTCGGGCGCCCCTGCGGCTGCGTCTGTGCTGCTGCTTGTGCTGATGGCAGTCGTAGTGGTTGTAGTCGTCGGGTCAAGGGCAGGATCGTCTGCGTTCGCAGGCGGTGCCACCATTATGGGTGTGCTGCTGTTGCGGCTGCTGCTGCTGCTGCTGCTGCTGCTGCTGCTGCTGCTGCTGCTGCTGCTGGTCTCTTCATCGGCGCTAGTCGTCGCAGTGGTCGTGGTGGTCGAATTAGCAGCCAGATACTCTGCGCTCGCTGGCGCTGTCACTATGACAGGCGTTGTCTCCTCATCGACCCCTGGGGCTGCGGCTGTGCTGCTGCTAATGCTGCTGGCCGCCGTCGTCGGTGGAGCGACTGGACCGTCTACGATCGACGGCGGCCCGGCATAGATGGGCATGGTCTCCCCATCTGCACCTGGGACTGCAGCTGCGCTGCTGCTAATGATGCTGCTCGACGTCGTAGTGGTCGTGGTCGTCGAATTCCCGCGCAGTTCGCCCGGCCAGAGCGGCCCCCCCCGCCAGCCGCCTGCGGATGCGCGGAGGCAGTGTTTGATTCACTCCTACGCTGCCTAGCACTGTACACCTGGTCTTGCCCTCCCGGCTGAGAGATATGATACCATGCCCATGACTGATACCCCTGACGGCGCCAAGAAGGGAGGAAACAGGACCAGAGAACAGCGCCCTTCATGGCCCATGGCGAACTGAGTCGCCGCCATCTCCACTCGATCAACGTGTCCATCCCTCAACATCCCGCTCCACAATAAATGGAAGAAAAAACCTCTGAACACTCTGGACTTGGTCTGCTCTCGATCCCTTCTGGGGTCTCGTTTCCTCGAGCTCCCGTCCTGCATCCTGAGTGGAAGCGGAGAATGAGAGAGTTGGATGGCGCGAAGGTGGGATACGCAACAGGAACGAACGAGGAGGTCTAGGAGGGAGGAGGGATGACGGAAGGCGGAAGTCGGAGGAGGAAGCGATGGAGGAGGGAGGAGGAAGAAGAGGAGGACTAGGAGGAGGAGGAGGAGGAGGAGAAGGAAAGAGGAGAAGGAAAGAGGAGGAGAAGGAGGAGGGCGAGAGAGAGGAGTAATGAGGCAGGAGGAACGAAGAGGGAGGGAGCGGAGAGGGAGAGGGGGGGGGGGAAGCCCGAGGCGGGCGGGAAGAGGCGGCAGGGAGAAGGGGGGGCGCAGAGGAGAGCGGGGAGAGAGGGCGCCAAAGGGGGGGAGGCCGCGGGGCATCGGCGCGAGTCGGCGGCGCGCGCCCCCGCGGCGCCGACTCGCGCCCGGGCGCGCGTCGGGGGCCCGGTGCCGTGCTGGGGCCACGGGCGGCCCACGGGGAGGGCGCCCGGCGGCGCGGGGCCCGCGGCGGCGAGCGGGCCCCGCGCGTTGCCGGCGTGGCGGCGAGGGTTGGCGCAGCATCGGGATCCACCAAAAAGGCAGATTGAAGGGGCCCCAGGACACACAAAGAAATACACACAAATAACGAGATGCCCCATATTTCCCCATGTTTTCTGGGTGTTTGTCTTCCCCCCCACTTCCCATATTTTCCCGTATTTTCCCATGAGTCGACGATTAATTGTGTCTGTGTGTTTTTTCCCCTCCTGACAGATGTCGAAGGAAGAATCAAAAATACCCCAAAAAGTACTCCAGAAGCGCAAGAAGAAAAAATCAGAAGATCGTCCCAAAGATCATCCCCCGACTGTTTGCTGCCTATTTTTGGATCTTCCTCCTGTAGAGGGACACGCGCAGCTTAAACCAAAGGGGGGTGACCCTGAGGTGGGGCATGAGTTCGATCTGTTGGTGCACCGAACTGCCCTAGACAGATGCCCCCCGCATGCCCCACCTGTCGGCAATCATCGGGAGCTGCCAGCGGCTGGGGGGCATCTGTTTTGGGCGGTTCGGTGCAACAAACGATCGAACTCGCACGCACCCACACACACACACACACACACACCCTGGGGCACACCCCCCTTTGCGGGATCCCGACAGAAGCGCGAAGCGCAGGCTGCAGGCAGATCTCGGCGACGAGTTGGCCGAAGCGCGACTGGCTGTCACAAGCGACGCCCGACACTGCCGTCTGCGTCATGCGGACGCGCTCCACCTGGCGCTCCAGGCGCTTGCTGACGTCGCGCTACTGCTGCGTTGTCGTCAGAGGCTGTGGCGCCGCTGGCGACTGGCGGGGCAGCTGGGGACCCCCCCGGCGAGCCCTGGGGAGCGCAGGCAGCAGGCTGGGCGGCTGCCGGGCCGCCGCCGCACAGGGTGCTGCGCGTGCACGACCGAGAGCCCTGGCCCGCGCGCGCGCCGCCCACTGCACTCCTCGCAGGAGAAGGAGCTGGGAGCGGGCAGCGCTGGTTTACACGATATGTTCGGCCGCAAGGCTGTCCCGCGAGCGTGGCCGAGACTCAGGCCAGGGATCCGGGCAAAACTGGGACCCAGGCCTCCTGGGGAGCCTGGGGGTGCCACGACTACGTTGCTGCTTGCACTAGGCGCCGCCTGTAGCGGGCAGATCCTGCCCCCCCAGGACGACAATCCTGCCCCCCCAGGACAGCAGGCACCCTCTCTCTCTCTTGACCTGCGTGCCGCCGACTCTCGCTGGTGAGGGAGTCGCGCAGCTCGTGGGTGCGCGACGGGTCGCCCGGTGCGCGGTGGCCGCGGTCCGAAAGTGCTCACGGCTGCGCCTTGCTCGGGAGAGGCCGAGTCCAAGCCGACGCAGTCAGGACGGAGACCGAGCACACCGTACGGACTTCCTCCATATGACCTTAGCATTAGGTCGCGCACGTCCTCCTACAGGCGGATTCTGGAACAGAGAAACACGAAGTAATCAGAAGCGGTCAAGAGAGTACGGAGAACCGCCACCAAACTATTTGTTTACCATCCTTGAGAACTCCTCATGTAGAGGGACATGCTCGACCGGCCGAGGCGATGCGCCTCACCCGACGGACCGCCAGAGCACGTATGGGACCGAAAAAGAGGGACGGCCTGCTGCTGAAGGGAGCGGCTCCGACCGCCCAGGCTTGGATCGGCACTTGGAGCAAAAGGGTGGGGCCGCAGGCGGGCGCTGGCGGCGGTGCAGCACGACGGGGCTGGGGTGCGTGGTGCAGCGCCCGGCCCGACTCAACCTCGTAGCCTCAGGTCGGGCGTGTTCCCAGACAGGCGGATTTTGGACGAAACATAAAAACTATTCAGAAAAGGGGCAGATGCGACTCCTCCTCGGGCGGTTTGGCGGCCAAAAAAGCGTTGCACTTCAGTCGAAGGGAGGCCCCTTCCCTTTGATCCCTTCCCCGCCGGGGGGGGGCGGCGGGGGTCCCCAGGGAGACCTCCCGGGGAGGTCCCGCGCAGATGCGACCTCTCCTCGGGCGGTTTGGCGGCCAAGAAGAGCGTTGTAGTTGAGTCGATTGGAAGCCCCTTTCCTTTGATCCCTTCCCCGCCGCGGGGGGTGGGCCGGGAAGGGGGGTCCCGGGGTAGATACGAATCCTTCTCGGGCGGTTTGGCGGCCGAGAAAAGCGTTGTAGTTGAGTCGAAGGGAAGCCCCTTCCCTTTGATCCCTTCCCTGCCAGGGGGGGGTCCCGGGGGGGGGGCCTCCTGGGGGGGTCCCGGGGCAGATACTTATCCTCCTCGGGCGATTTGGCGGCAAACAAAAGCGTTGTAGTTGAGTCGAAGGAAGAACCCTTCCTTTTGATCCCTTCCTCGCAGGAGGGGGAATCCCCGGGGAGGCCTCCGGGGGGGGTCCTGGGCAGATGCGACTCCTCCTCGGGCGGTTTGGCGGCCAAGAAAAGCGTTGTAGTTGAGTCGAAGGGAAACCTTTTCCGTTTGATTCCCTTCCCCGCCGGGGGGAGGGTCTCCGGGGAGGCCTCCCGGGGAGGTCCCGGGCAGATGCGAGCTCTCCTCGGGCGGTTTGGTGGCCAAGAAAAGCGTTGTAGTTGAGTCGATGGACCCTGCTCCCCCCGCCTCCTTCCTCCTTCCGCCCTCCTCCCTCACCCCCCCTACGCCTCAGCTAACTCCGGCGGTCTGCGGCGGAGTCGGTCAGCACCACCCTGGTGGGTAAGCATTGCTCCATGACCCAGGCGCAGATCGGTACAGGAGAGTGGCGCTTTCCTGCCACCCTCCTGCACAGTCCCGCGCGGAAGTGCCACCCTCCCGAAGCTTTCCCGCCGCTACCCTGCGCGCTGCCAAAAGACTCACTGATGGAAAAAGACACCTCGTTGGCAGAGATTCGATTCACGACGCGGGCCCTCGGAGCTCTCGACCCCCATCCACGGGACCGCCTCGACCCGACGCGGGCCGCCCCTGGACGGGAGCCCTCCTGGAAGGCCCGAGCAGCGGGCCTCTGGGCTCCAGAAGAGCCGATGGCCGTGACCTGCCCACAACTCCCTTCCCAGACGTCCGACGTTGACGTCGCGAACCTTGTTGCTTTGGACGTGGGTTACAATCGAGCGCCAAGTCCCAGGCAGCAACAGGACCGAACGAGGGCCCGAAACAGGCGAACGAGCGAGGACCAGCGACCGAGCGAAAAGCCGAGGCCTCGACGTCGACAGCTTCACAGCGCGAGTGCACGGTTTCCCCCGGGGCCGCAGGCGACCCGAGGAGGAAGGAGGAGGAGGAGGTGGAGGAGGGGGAGGTGAGGAGAGGAGGGGAGGAGGTGGAGGAGGAGATGGAGGAGATGGAGGAGGAGGAGGATGGAGGAGGAGGAGGAGGAGGAGGAGGAGGAGGAGGAGGAGGAGGAGGAGGAGGAGAAAGAGGAGGAGGAGGAGGAGGGGGACGGGGAGGGGGAGGAGGAGATGGAGGAGGAGGAGATGGAGGAGGAGGAGGAGGAGGAGGAGGAGGAGGAGGAGGAGAAGGAGGAGGAGGAGAGGAGGAGGAGGAGGAGGAGGAGGAGGAGGAGAAGGACGGGTCGCCCAAGCCCTTCGGAGACGACGTCGGGGGTGTGGGTCCCCAGACATGCGACGTCCTGAATTTTGTGCAGGACGGCGCCCCTGGAAGCCCCGACCCTTTCCCTGGGACCGGTTTCTCCTCCCGAATCGTCTTTTGACAGTTCCGGGGACTGGTGAGGGCCCCCCAGGGCCGAAAATGACGAAAAGCCTCCCGCCCTGATTCTTCCGCGACGCGATCGTGTCTGGGTCGTGCACTGCAGGCGGGGGGGTCTCTGGCCGGGCCGGCGCGGCGCCCCCGGCCGAGGCGGCGCCTGCGGCCAGCGCCGCGCCGGGCGCGGGCGGGGCGTGCGGGCGGTGGCCATGCTCCACCTCCACGGACACGTTCAGCACGTCGAGGGCCGCCAGGCCCCCGCCCGCGCCCAGGGAGGGCTCCCCCGAGGAGTTGCGCCCGCGCTTCACGATCCTCCCGGGGGGTCGAGGGGGGGGAGGTGCAGCCAGAAGCCCAGGCCCCCTCGCGCTGCTGAAAAAATCACGAGGGGGTTCTGCACCCTTTTCGGCCTCCGGGGGCCCTTCCCAGGCCGCGGGATGGTCAAAAAACGGCTCGGGACGGAAAACTGGTCCCGGGGAAGGGGTCCAGACCTCTGGGGGTCGCCGCTGCGAAAAAATCACGACGTCGGATGTCCAGGAGGGAGGGGGGACAGCTGACGGGATGAACGTCGAGCTTACGTCGGCGATGCACTGCCGATAGACCAGCGATGGGCCCCCGATGGCAGATCCGCAGGTTCCTGGGCGGGCGGGGCTATCGAGCCCATTTCGGCGATCAGTGGACGATGGGGGGCCGATGCATACCCCCTGGGCCCGTCTCCCCCCCACGTTGACCCCGAGCGGGGGGGGGGGGGCGGCGCCCGGGCCCCCGTCGCGTCGCTCAAGAGATCACGGCTCAAGCTGTTGACCACCTTCGGCCTGGGGGCCCTCTCTGGAGCCCCAGGGCCGCCAGGAAGCGGCCTGGGATCTCGCACGAGAAAGAGGGACCTGGAGCAGGAGCCGAGGCCTCCACGGGGCCCGCTCCGCGAGACAAAGTGGCGACGTGAGAGTGCGGGTGGGTGGCAGGTCATCGGCAGCGAGCGAGGGGGGAAGTGAGAGGGAGGAGGGCTGCTCCCAACGCTACGAGCTGTCGCTCCGCGGCCTGCCTAAGAAAGAGGAGGCCTTCCTGGAAGGCGGCGGGGCTTCTCAGAAGCCCTCCCGCCTTCTGAGGGGAGTTCTGTGTCTCCGCGGCAATTCATGGGCCTCCCAGACCTCTCCAACAAGCCCCATGAGAGCCTCAAGACAACCAAACTGAACACCACGAGGGCCCCGATGGTGCCCCAAGATGCCCCGCGGAGATCCCGAGAGGACCCTTAAGATGGCCTGAGTCGTCCTTCAAGGACCTCTCCCGGGGGGGCTTAGACAACTTCTCAGGAGGCCAGGGGGCGTCCGAGCCTTCTGAGGAGGCTCGCCCCACCTGAGGGGCAATGATAGGGGGGTGTGGCACAGGGGGGGGGGCGCATCGACCTGGAATCGGCGATACATCGCTGGTAGATCGGTGATAGGCCCCCGATAGCGAATCCGCACCTTCATGAGCGGGACAGGGCTATCGGGCCCCTATCGGCGATGCATGGACGATTGGGGGTCGATGCGTCCCCCCCTTATGCCGATCCCCCCCTATCGTTGACCCTGAGGCATGGCACGACATCACAGCATAGTAAAAAGCAGAGTGGAGAAAGAGCGCACGGAGTTCCTGCAAAAAGAGGCGCGACGGCTCAAGCCGGCCAACGTTTGTCCAGCGCACAAAAGATCTGCACGAAGGACGGGCTGGAGACGGGCATGCCCTCCGAGGGGGCATCACTGATCTTCCAAACCGAAATGCTTCTGCAAGCCAGCTGCAAGCTCGCCGCTCACACTACTTACACTTGCCGATGCGCGCCCGAAGGGCAAGCAACAGAAGGACGAGGGCGCCAACGACGCCTTGCAACGAGGACGAGAAGGGAGGAAGGGTCGCGGCCCTAGTGTAGCAACACTCGCTCGTTCCCTCACCGAAGCGTTGCGTCAGTAAGGGAGGCTCAGACTGCGTCCCTGCATCCGCGAGGCAGGCTGCTCATGGACCGTGATGCGGTGTCGGCCTCAGCCTGAATCGTCGCTCACCAGACCATCAGCGCCGAAGTTGCTCGAATCGGGCAGGTAGGATCAGTAAGCATCGAGTCGAGCAATCGGGTCGAATCGGAACGCGCATCGTATAGGGCTGCATCGGCACAGAGTCGACATCGAATCACAGCGGCTGCGCCATTGTTCGCAGCAGCGCCGTACAGTCATCGGACCGCATCGGATCGTCGAAGTCTTGGAACCGCATCGGAACGAGGAGAGCCGCAATCGGTACCGAATCCCATCGATCGGATCGAAATGGGCGCCCGGGGAGGGGCGGCACCACGCACCCCTGCCGCATCAGCAAGGAATCGTCTCTGGATCCTGCGGCGGACTCGGATCGTCGCCGCTCGCACCAGAGCCCACAGCATGCCCGTGGCCCATGCCCGTGACCCGTGCAAAGGCCCGGCGAGACTGTACCACAACCTCGGCGCAGAGACAGCGGGTCGAAGCGCCAGCGCCACCGCCTCGCGGAGCTCGGCCTGAACCGTGCTGCCCGTTCTCGTGCTGCTTTCACCCACCCTGGTTGCATACAGCATCCTCGCTCCGCGCTTGCTGCAGAGCGAGATCGAAACGAACACGGTACACGAAACCGCCAGACCATCGCTTGGGTCGAGCCCTGCCGTCTCGCACCTCTCGGCAAGACCCTCCTGGCCGTCGGCGCGGGGGTCCTGCAGGCCCACGGGTGCGCCGAAGGCCACGGGCGGAGGCAAGAAGACCGCATCGCTGCCACCCGTGGAACGTCGCTCGCCTGCGGCGAGCACGCCAGGAGGCAGCCCCCTGGCGACCCCGTGGCTCGAAGCCAGATCCCCCCTACTGGGACCCAGACGTGATCGCGTCGGGAAAAATCAGGGCGGGAGGTGTTTCGCCATGTTCGGCCCCGGGGGCCGGGCCACAAGACTCTCAAAAAACAACTCCGGAGGAGAAACCGATCCCGGGGAAAGGGTCGGGACTTCCAGACGCCGTTCTGAAAAAATCACGACGTCCCATGTCTGGGGAGGCTGTCCAGGGTGCCCCCAGCTCTTCGCACCATGTTGGGGCCCCTGGGGCCGTCTGGGCCTCGAGAGGGGCGCTCTGGAGGCCACCTTGGCCTCCCTGGGAAGAACTGCGAGGTCACAACACCCAGCCGACCAGGAGAATCGCACCCCTCAGCGGCCTGATCGTCCTGGTCATGTGACAGCGACTGCCGCCGCCGCCGCCGCCCAGCCAGAACCGGGCTGGAAGCGCAGACTGCGCCAGGGTTCGAGCTACTCAGTGGCTTCGTTTTCGTTTTGCGTTCGCTTCCCTTCGTTCTGTCTTCGATCTGCCTCTGCTGCGAGACGAGATCCAAACGAAAACGGTCCCGAAATTACCGGCAACACCGCTCAGCTCGAGCCCTGGACTGCGCCATCACTCTCTCTGTGGTGCCGCCCGCGCAGTGCCGCCCGCACAATGCCCTGTGGTGCCGCCCGCGCAGTGGCCTGGCTCTCCCTGTGGTGCCGCCCGCGCAATGCCGCCTGGCTCTCCCTGTGGTGCCGCCCGC